CAAAGTGTTGAAATCAATATGTGACCTGAAACTGCCCCTTAAGATACGAAAGGTTCAGACAAGCCTTTCACTTTTCAGGAAGATACTGAATATTAGGCTTCGAACACGGTAGACGTTAAATGCCATGTTCTAGTAGCGCTGTTAAAATTTCCCTTGGAAATTTTTTTTTTGTCAATAATTTTTAATGAAATTGCGTTATATGTTATCTGGATTGATGAGAATTCCCATTTTCTGGCCTGTTATTTTGGTGTCCGCGTCATGTAATCTGACTGCGACACCCCCTAGCATATTGGTTGCAACGATCAGTGTTTCAGGCGAACTGTAGCAAAATATCGCTATAGTGAGAAAGATAGGATAGTTGAAGGGTAATTTCACCTACACAAATAATCTACTGTATTCAGATGCTGCACCTTTCGTCATGGTATCATTCAATGGAGACTTCACGTCTCAGGATATTAATTCAGCCTATTTTCGTGTGAAGAACAGTCCTTTTTGACAAAAGAATTCTATCAGTACTTCGAAATCACCTGTAAATGCTAACAGAACCTTCTGTGGGAATAGAAGTAATCATGTGGATTTGTCTCACCGTATGTGTGTTTGGACAGGAATTATCGTAGGTTGAGAGGTTATTTCTAAATGTATTTTATGTATATTTGCACTGTTTGGTGTAGCGTAATATGATTTATTTGGACTCAATGTATAAAAAATATCTCAACTTTATTAATATTGTGCCATTCCTAACCTGACTGCTTGGCTGGCAAACGTAGGTGGTTGTCATGAATATTGTAAGTGCAGTGCAGTGGAGAAGGCAATCATTTGTTTAAATTTCCTTACTGTGCCACTTAGTGCATTAATTTAGTGTATAATATTTTTATACACATGAATTGTGTCGATTATGAGAACTGAATCTAGTCAGCTCTGTTACTATCAATCTACTGTCTGTTATGCCATTCTCACTGGCACTGTTATCTTAATGCTGCACTGTAGTGGTGATGAATTTTTCCTGAATTTCCGATTATTATGAAGCAGTAGAGATGCAGTGTCACGATCGAATGTCTAGGTTGCATTATATGTCATTGTTATCCTCATCGACGCAACAGGTCTGCGTATCTTACAATATTTTAAGTGTTTCTCTATGCTGTTAACACTGTGCATAGTTGCTTAGAGTTGAAGCATGTTCAGCTTATATTTGATGACTACAGATTCCTAAATATGAGAATGTAATTTCTGTAGGATTCATAAAACTATGCTCATTAGACATTACTGAGATTATGGATAAATTTCTAAGTTACACATTTGCAATACTTCATTTAGTGTAAACGTATTTAGTGTGAAGTTGATATGCAACTAAGGTTAATGAGAGTATGACGCCTCAACAGTATGGATGCTTCAAAGATTGTCTTGATATTTGCGTATAATCCTTTAATACTGGGAAACATATGAGGTCTATTGATGCTTATAGTATCAATATAAAAACCAGCTGTAAACTACGAATACATTTATTTGCATGAGATATTACTTAGTATTAACAGAATCATAGTGTGCTAATATGTAGAATTATCTTTCATAACTTCATGTTGTGCTAGTCCTTACAGGTGCTTTATTTTTTTCAGGTATACGGAGGTTGTCGAATATGAAACTAGCGGAAATATCATTCGGTCAAACTAACGTTAATACTCTTCATCGGGATTTTCTTTTGTAAATTAATGAAATGTTTAATATACTCTTCAATTCTACTTCCTCTAGACTTTTTCAGTGCGTCGCTATACTATGTGCTTTTGTAATAAGTGAATTCGGATCAATGCATGTTAAGCTTAGTTAGTGGGATGGAGATTTACTATAGTATTATGAGACTGTTACTTTAGCCCTTCGTAAGATTTCGTGTCTGTTTCTATACAGTAGCACATTGTAAAAACTAAGTAAGATTTAGCAATTTAAATAATAATTCTGTACTGTTCGATACTCTAAAATCGCCTTATCTAGCCAGTTGCAATTCTGTACACTGTTAAACGCCAATTATGAAGTACAAGTAAATTTAATGACTTAGGCTTGACAGCTACTTCACTAATCTGTTAATATGCAGTGACATCATCAAATAGACTGTTCACTTGACAGTGAGCAAAGAAACAATTTTCATCTATTTCTAATATGCCGTTGAATCATTTGATGTTATCTGATATCCATCATTTCTATGATCAACAACTGCGGTGTTTGCATATCTACTTTATGAATATTAAATAACTGACGCCTTTATGCATCTAATTACCTCCAGGATTTTCTATTCATTTGATGTGTGTACGGTAAACAAGTCTTTCATACATTCTCCCACAAATGCCAAGGTTTCTGGTGTCACAAGTGTTAATAAGAGTTGCTTCCTTGGTTTCAATACAAATGACGTTCTAAATTATCTCTAGTCGTTGAACCCTTCTTGTAGCCAAGTTCCAGATTGTTTGCCTAGCCTTATTCTTAATTAAATGTGCAGATATCCTGTGTTATCCTCTCACATATTTAATGAATCTTTTTCCAGAAATGTTGTGCCAGCCGTTTGGAAGGACTTTAAAATTGTACTTGTACCTAAGTCGTCTAATGGAACATGTTTTAAATTTAGACCTATTGCTATTACCTCCCCTTTTCTAAAAGCTATGGGAAAGTTACTCTTACTTAATCTTCAACCATCACTTAAAGCCTTTAACGATCTCAAATGATTCGCCTATAAACACAGTAGAAGTAATTTAGATGCAGCTGCAGTCTTGCATCACAACATTTTCTCCATTATAGTCGTCCAGTACCAATTGTATTTTTGTTTGACGAACTTAATGTACATACGCATACGAAATGAAATATGTCAAGTGCGTGGACTAACTATTCCGGTGTCTTTTAATTCGCATCTACACTGTACTAAGATGAACAGCTCTCTATTAGTAGTCAGAAAATGCTTTTAAACTAAATCCTTCCAAATGTCAGACTGTCAATTTCAGTTTCCGATGTAAAAGAAAGTTAGATGAGGCTGTTAATTCCTATGACCGTTGCAAAATTGATGACAGTGATATAGAGCTCAAGTATGACTTTAAGTATCTCGGACTAATTCATCAAACAGCGTATTAGCCTTAAATGTATATCACACGCATGCATGGGCTAGGTATGCAAACCAAGGTAAACGCTGATATAAGTATAAAACTTGGGCACTGTGGTAGAGTATAACTCCATTATGGATAAGATTTTATTTTGATAAATCACACAGTGTTGTACAGTTATATTAACTGATGACGTTTCGAGCACAAACGCTAGCACGGTACACTCATTATTTAAAAAAACTAACTCATATGTGAGAACTACGATTTGACCGGCTTTACAACGTTTAATATATTTAGACACAATAGACATACACTGCTTACTTCTATGACGCATTACCTAAAGCTACCCCCTTGCTACTACCTAAGTGAGCAACTCAACCTTATCTTTGAATTACAAAGTAAAAGCGGATATTCTGAGAGCTTTCTGGGTAAAAAGATCGTCTCCTAGTCAAAAAAATAAACATATCTTTATCTCTTCACGAAAACGTTTAGAGGTATTTATCCTATCGCTTCAAATGACTCACTATTTGCTGTCACTTAAAAAGTAGAAATAAATTTACCGAAGGCAGCGTGCTTATGGTTTCTAGATATCTTAATGCACTATGAGGAAAAAGCTTTATTCATAGGGTTATAGCAATTAGATGCGCGATATAAATCCGAAACTCAACGACTACGATTCTCAATCACAAAACATTCTACTTTGCTACCTAATCGTCTCAATAGATGCTTCGCCAAGAAAAAGAAGACCATTGGTTCAAGGAAAATTTATTTAAAGTTTTCTTATAAATCATGGGCAACCGTGTTTATAGCCACGGAGAAATCACAAGCATCCGAAAAATAGGAATTTCATTATTTGAACTGAAATAAGCAATTTGTAACCAACCAATTTTTTCACCCCGAATAATAATCAGCTTCTCAGCTTGCTGCAACTTCGAAAAAACCACCGAATGTAGACCAAAATCCGAAACGTTATTCTTGCTAGTTAAATTCTTACCGAACACTCACCAGATCATCGTACGTTATCAGCTTTTCAAATCCTTTTGAAACAAATAAAATGGTTGTTAACACCGCGTTTACTACAGGCAGTCCTAGTTCGTGCGTTTGGATCTAGTACACTAAACATTAACAATCATTTAAGGATTCCCTATTGCTTCCTAATTTTGCTTCCAAAAGTACATACAAACACCACACATTCATACTTCACATGTGGCTCATCCTTGCTTGCTTTTGATTCTCTCACAATATATCTGATTTTTTAGCTGACAACACACACCTTGTCGAAAAGCTCCAAAGCTTTTTAAACTTCAAACCAGGTTCTAAATTCTCTGGGTTTAACTAGTTCTTCGATAACTTTGTTAATATCAACCCTGATGGTGCTCTCTTCACCGGATTCATTCGTAGATTGTTGCATGCTGTAAACATGAACGTGAGAGACATTTTTTTCCAGATTCCTACATATTAAGTAACCAATTGAGCCAGCAGCAATAACGGCAACCAAAAATGAACTGGAAACAATGGCTTCTGCTTCCCAAACATGTTCACGTGCATAATTTACAAAACTTCTACACAGTACTAATTCATTAATAGCTGAAAAACAATTCAAACACTGAAACCATGCATGAATGCAACGTATGAAACACTAACAATGAAACGAATGCACTGACCTGCTGGTAAAAACTTTCGAAACAAACGAAATAACTAATTTTAACAGAAACGGTAACAATAATGAAGTGAAACGCAACATTTGTAAACAATGTGCATCAAGATACGTGGTGAATAAGTGCTGGATAAACGGAAAAACCAATATGTAAACGAACAGTAACGGAGCTGCAATCCAACATGGCCGACTAACATGGACGAAAATGACCTATGAGCGTCTCACTCCATCAATGACCTTGTACATGGCGTTTAATTTCTGCCTTCGAACACTCATATGGTCTGTCTCCTTGAGAAGTTTGTCCGGGTATTTTAGATTCTCAAGGTTAGCTTCCAACTCAGAAGACTTCCCAAGTAATTGTGTCTCATAAACGGTCTGAACATATCAAGGATATGAATGACACACAAGGGCTTTTAGAGCAAGAAAATAACCGCAGAGCTGATGAGCTATCGCACAAAGTGTCATTGTTAAAGGCGGTAAGCAGTCATTATGTTGCTTTCACATAAGTGTAATTTATTGTTATCTGTATAATTTGGTCTGCTAACAGATAATTTACCTTTTTATTTTGATGGATTGCCTTAACTCTGTTTGGAAACAGAATTATTGTCACTAAGCCAAATAAGGAGTATTGCAAGGCTACACGTTTTTTTGTGAAAATAATTTTGTAAATATCAGAGGTTTGCGTATCAAGAGGTATTACGTGAAAATGACTTGGGAACACAAATGAATATATGTTCTGAAACGAAATACAAAGGTATCGTGTTGAAAATATTCCAAAACTGTCATTTCATCATGCTAATTTTCATTCTGAAGTCCACGTGGTTTCCGTCCAAGTATATTTGCCTTTAGGTATTTTTATTAACTGTGGAGGAGTTAATAATTCTTAGCTCCAGTTAACCAACCAAAATGAGTTTTTGATTAGGTGGTGTTATGTAGACAGCTAAGGTCCGTGTATTCACATTAGCTTATTTGGTATTTTATTTTATTAGGGTATAGTTACATGAATTGATACCTTTTTGTGCAAAGTTTTGCGTAAACATCACTCAGTCATATATCACTGGCAATTATATTTCATACTATCATTCCTCGTGTTCTCTCTTGTGTCTGTTGATTCTGACGGGTTCATGAATTGATGATATTGGATAGTTGAAGGCAATCGGCAGGAAGCCTTAGACCTAGGTCTCGTTCTAGTTGGCACTCGTCAGCAAGGCCTATCTACAACCTTGAAGGAACTCATGTCCCTTCTGGGATTCAAACCTGCGTCACCCAGTGCTGCAGTCAGAGACGTTACCAATGAGGTATTCGGGCTCACGATTGACCTCCTGTAGGGCTGTAGTGGGTATTTTGATTGTACACTAGTAACTAGTGCGACGTGTCTAGTCCTTACTTTGGTGCAATGTGGCCACTATTCTAGGTAGCTCGCAATCACGGTGCTCACTGATTTGACGATATTGGAAAGTTGGAGGCAATTGGCAGGAATCCTTGGACCTAGGTTTCATGAATGTCATAGACGACAAACCACTATTTATCTGCAACCACTTAGGGCATTATGTTTACCATTCTCTAGTGATTTCGGTTGACCATTCCCAAAAAAGTTATGGAGTTCACGTTACAGCCTTCAAAGTAAGCAGCTATGTTGCTATAGGATGTTTCACATTTTAAATAAGAACAAATTAGTTCAGCGAAGAGTCTCTTTTCGGCGAATTCATTCACTTAGCTGTACAGTCGCAAATATATACAATTAATTTTGTGTGTGTGTGTACATTAGGTTTGTCGTGTTTCTGTAGCTTTGAAACTTTTCAAGTTTCCATAAGATCCCACCAAATTTGTGTTCAATTATTCTTCAGTAACGTTATCTCCCATACAATTGGAGGCCTTGTCTGTCGGGCCAAGATTTTGCGACATGAACTCAAACATAAGCAAGCTCAATACTTATGTCGAGTTTGAAAATTTGATCAATCAGACTACTGATCTTGTCCCAGCTTCCGAAGAAGAATTCAAAGAGTTTAAGTCTACTATTCTAGACTCCTGTCAACAGTATCTCAATACAAAGTCCAAGTTCAACAATCTTTTGACCAAAGAGAATAGAGAACAACTCAACCAACTGAGATAGAACAAAGAATTGCTTATCGCACGCCCTGACAAAGGTACAGGCATAGTCTTAATGGATAGAAAAGATTATATTAATAAAATGGTGGCGATTCTCTCAGACAACCACAAGTTCTCAGTATTCAAAAAAGAGGAAGACAAAACCGAGGCAACGGAAAAACAGCTAACTGAGATCTTGAGAAAGCTAAAAACTGATCAAGTTATCTCTGAAAATGTCTTCGAGAGCATTCGACCTACAGGTTCAATAATACCCCGACTATACGGATTGCCAAAAACTCATAAACAGGGTCTTCCACTGCGCCCTATTTTGGACATGTCGGGATCTCCATATCATCCAATAGCGAAATGGCTAGCAGAACTCCTACAACCTGTCAGAGAACGAATTTCAAAACATTCCCTTCGGGATACCTTCGAATTCATCGATTGCATTAAAGATGTTAAAGTGGGAGACAAACGTATGATTTCACTCGACGTCGAGTCTCTCTTTACAAACGTCCCTATCACTGAGACGATTTGTTTTCTATGCAAATACTTGGAAGAAAACAACCTGGATATTGGAATACCTACCACCAAGCTAAAAGAACTCCTACTCAGATGTACCCTAAATGTCCAGTTCACATTCAATGGGAACTACTATAGACAAAAAGATGGCGTGGCGATGGGATCACCTTTGGGTCCGGTGCTGGCTGATATTTTCATGGCAAGTTTGGAAAACGGTCCGCTGAAAGCTACCATCGACAAATTCTTCTTATACAAAAGGTATGTCGGTGATACTTTCGTCATCTGCGATCACAAATGTGATCAAAATATTGTTCTTCAAGTTTTCAATAGTTGCCACCCCGCCATCAAATTTACAATCGAAGTAGAAACCAAAGAAACAATCTCCTTTCTGGACGTTCGTTTAAGTAAGAAGACTGATGGTACCTTGAACAGATCAGTACACAGAAAACCTACGTGGAACGGTCAGCTGACAAACTTCTACAGTTGGGTACCAATTAGTCGCAAGCGAAACTTGATAATATCTCTGGCGACTAGAATCCGAAAAATCTGCAGTCCTGAATCAATAGAGGAAGAGATCGCCCTCTTAAGGAAGACACTGCTCGAGAATGGCTACCCACCTCGTTTTATAGACAAGCATATTAAGCCTAAGACTTACAAAGAACAACCCATTACAGTGCAGAAGAAGATGGTCTACATGAATGTACCCTTCAAAGGTGACCTTCTGCCTGACACCTTGAAGAAAAGGATATCTACTGCTCTCAGAAGGACATTCTTCGCTGCCACACTACGACTGACATTTTCCTCCCGGCCATTGTTCTTCAACTACTCTAAAGATAAACTATTGCATTTGACCACTTCCATGTGTATCTACCAATTCACTTGCTCTTGCGGAGCGAGGTATATAGGTCGTTCGATGCGAGTTTTATCTAAAAGAGTTCAAGAACACCATCCCGCCTGGCTACGGAAAGGTAACAACGGAGCAATAAGGAGCGCCATTATTGAGCATATACTCAACACTGGTCATTCGATTTGCAAGGAGAAGTCGTTCAAAGTCATCTATAAAGTCAAAAGAAGCCTTCCAAAATCGACAAGCTTCCGTATACTTTGTATTGCCGAAGCCTTAACGATTTGGATAGAAAAGCCTGAGTTATGCACACAGAAGAAACTTCTCCACCCCCTCCTACTACCGTGGGTTTAATTTCAAGTTTATCTGTCATCAACATTTTGTTATCAAATTTTTTTTGCAATTTTCGTATAATAATTTTCAGTAACTAACCCATTCAATCTTTTCACCTATTATCTAGTTTATTTTCATAATTGTCCCCATACTCCTTCACTAACATCTAACCCTTCTAAACATGTCTATATTACGTAACCCTACTCACATCTTACCAATCTTCACCCCACTTGGTTACAACTTTGATTATTAATCACACATTTTAATTTCTTAATTATTTTGATGATGTAATCAACAACCCACACTAACTGTTATTTTGATTTTGACTTTGACAAACCTAATGTACACACACACACACACACAAAATTAATTGTATATATTTGCGACTGTACAGCTAAGTGAATGAATTCGCCGAAAAGAGACTCTTCGCTGAACTAATTTGTTCTTTTTTCAATATCTTAATGCGTATTTTTCGTTTCGCATTTTAACAATATGTTCGTCCTGTATGCCATAAAAATGTTTGTTGGGTTTTTCACAAGGATCAATATTTACGCTGTACCTCATTTCAGATCTAGGGGTATTTACCATTCTCCAAGTCTGTTTTTCACCAATAAACCGGTTGGCTTTTTACGCATAGTGTCAAGATTCATTACTTCAAATTATTATTTTGTCAATTTTCTACTAGTATTGTGATATTGAAACATGGCGTCTTTGTTCGACATTCTACCTTTTTTGTTGAACTAAGTGTTCCACAAGCATAATAGTGAAAGTGGTTTAGATAACAGTTAAAATAAAATAAAAACATCTGTCGAATAATATCTCAGAGTAATTTTCCAAATTAAAGTGAATCGGTTGGGATTTTTCAACTCTTTTACAGCACAAATGTTCTTTATTATTTCATTCAGTTCTTTAAGTTTGTAAGCCATGCTTGCTGGACACATTTAGCAAAATAATAGTGTCCAAATTACTGGGGCTGATGTAAGATAATGCAACCAGTTGATATCCAAGTGAGTAACGGAACTCAGTATTGTTCATGTGATGTTCCCACCGAACTGATTGCTAGGTTGGGCAGATAACAATGATCAAAGGACTCATCCACTCAGAACTTAAACATCAAAAGGCTCTTTATATGTGTGTGATTTCTGAAAGCCTTTAAGTAGAAACTCATGCTAAAATTATCCGGACAAGATTTAATGGTTACAAGATCTAAAGATCTCATTATGTTCAATACTTTACTGAAGACCACAGATGTATTTGTCATTTTTATAGTGTTTTTACATGTAACCATTGTCTATGACTTATTGTGGCTTACCAGATATTCCACAGTACTGAATATAATCGTCCAGGAATTCTATTTTATCAATCACCAGAACTAATGATGTCTCCGGTAATCATTAAAAATAGTTCAAAGAAGTAACATCTTTCTATCCATACCGTCAGTAGTTGTTTTCAACATATTCCTCGTCTCACAGATAGTGCTTTTGAACATAATCTTATTCAAACCTCTGGGCTTCAGGATATGTTGATTTATATCACTATTATTATTCTCTTAGGTTCCGTGTGGAAGATAGGGCCTCATCCCATCTTGTTTTCTGTAGCATTCTTTCTCTGGCTACATGGTTGCCCATAGGCTTTCATCTCCTGATACGATCTCCTCCATGTTACCCTTGGACGTGTAGCTCGTCGTTTCCCGTTTGGGTTCCAATTTAGAGCCTGGTGCGTAATATCACTTTAGAAGTATCTTTGGGTTTTCCGTTGTCAATCACTTGATATGTGCGACCATCATATATCTGTGGTAAGAGCTGTCTGCAAGACAAAATTGTAAACAACAATTTACGTCAATGTTTATGTCCCGAACCAGGGCCATGAGAAAAAACAAGAACAAAGTAGAACCTTGAGGAACTCAACAACCAATCACAGCAGACTTAGCGTGTGCAAATACGATTCACAGATATATGGATAACTTTGTAAGGAACGGTCACAAGCAGTACAAGATAATCTTCAGCAAGTAAGCAACCAATCAGAAGATGTTGCTTCTCTGCTAAAATAACGTATAATAATGTACATAAAATTCTATAAATATCTCTTGATTTTCTCAGTAAACTATCTGTTGCCTGGCCCTTGTCTTCTGCCGTTACATATCTGTTGTACGAGGTTGAAAAAGGTTTGGGGTACTCCGTAGAGTTGGAGAAGTCTCCAAATTGCTTCTCTGTCAACGCTGTCGAAGGCCTTTTCAAAGTCGGTGTGTAGATTTAACTGCCATTCCATGCTCTGTTCGATGATAATGCGTAGAGTTACAATTTGATCAGCTTATGATTTTCTTTTCCTAAATCCAGGTTGTTCCGGATGGAGCTCTGTATCCAGGGTAACGCGACTTAGTATTTTACGTAGGGTGGAGAAGATGTTGATTCTGCACCAGTTCCTGCAGAGTCTGAAGGCACTTTTCTTTGATAGTTTGACAGGGTAGCCTTTCTCCTAATCTGTAGGCATTTTTCCTCCCTAAAAAAATTTCTGTAATAGTAGCGTGAGGATATTCTCCTAGGTCTCTGGATCTGTTTTCAGTGCTTCAAGAGGAATTCCATCCGGTCTTGTTGCCTTCCCCGATTTCAGTAGCTTGATCGCGTTCAAGATTTCCGCATTTGCTAGACGACTGGTGTCCGCTGACAGTTCTGTGCGTTCTGTAGGTGGTATTTCTAGACGAGTTGCAGGTGATGGTCGATTCCAGAGTCCTTTGAAGTGATCAGCCCATTATTTCATTTGTTTCTCCTCCTTGGTAACCAGGTTCCCCTGAGCATCCTTTTTTGGTTTCATCATCTGGGTTGATCTCTTCCCAGACAGCAAGTGACCTGGTCATCTGATATAATGTTCTGAGGTCTCTTTCACCTGCGGTCTGCCTGTTCTGCTTCAGTTTCCAATGTGTCGTAGGATTGTCTTTTGTCTATCCTAGCACTCTTCTTCACTTCTTTCGTTATTCAGTGCAGTGTACATTAAACTCATCTTCTCCTTCTGTTGTCCACCTTTGCATTGAATCATCTTCTATTTCACCATCCTCCTCTCCTCTCTTCCGTTAGCTTCCACGTAAGTGTCCGTTGAGAACCAGTGCTTGTGTTGTCTCTTCCTTCTTCCTATAACAGTTGTACACGTTTTCTTGAACATCACCTTCAGAGAGTTCCGATGTTCTTCCGCGCAGGCTTCTTTAGTGATGCCACGTAGTATCTCCGACTTTGCTCTGATCTTATCTGTAGTAAATGCATCCTTTGTAGTTTCGTCCTTCAGTTTCTGAGTGCTGAACTTGAATTGTGGTCTGTCTCTGGTTATTCTGGAGCATTTCAGCTTCACCTTGAAGGTTCCTCTAACTTGGTGATAATCTGAGCCCACATCTGCTCCCTTTCGCGACTTTGTGTTTAGCTTTTTCTTGAGATTGAGGTTAAATCTATCTGGTTTTTGGTGTGTCCATCAGGTTGTCTTGTGTATATCCTTGTGCTTGTATACACTACCTCTAATCATCAAATCGTTTAAAGCCCAAAAGTCTGTGAAGAAGTCTCCGTTCTCATTCAGTTCGGCGAGCGAGAGCCTCTCAGCCCATGATGAATTTTCTTCATATGTTGTCTGTACCCAGTTTAGCATTCATATCGCCTATGAAGATTTTAATGTCGAACAAAATTTATTGTTCGAAACGTCATCCACTAGATAATACTGTTTCACTGTGTGATATATCTAATAAACAAACTAATATAGAAGTGTAATATCACATTCAAGATAGAGGGAAGCATTAAATCTATCTGTGCGATTTTGACAATATTTTCTGATTTACTACATAAAAATCTTTAACCGTAAGTTACTATTATCAGGTGAACTTCAACTCTATGAGCTACATTTCCCTGAGGTAAAAATGGTCATGTAAAATAATTAGCAATTTTTTGCTGTAATACCTAAGCCCCTAATTATGTTTGCCATGTTGATTTGTTGTAAACTTTAATCGTTTTGAATGTAATTGGCTGATCCTTCAATATTCACATTGTTACCTTAAAATATACACCAATTATCCTGTGAAAGCGATTCGAAAAGCAAGAGAAATTCATCTTCATAAAAATAGTCAATCTCTATGCCTTATTTCAAATTACTAATTAAAAAACCAAACAGTGGATGTCTAAATTTTGACAATGATCTATGTAGAATATGAGTATGACTAATTATCTGTCCGATTAGAGTAGTCAGTGAAGATGTTTCTCTTTTTTTTCCTACATCGTATTGTCTGCGGTTAAAAAATGATTTTCATCTTCATTTCTTTGAATGACTGAGTTGTTGAACATCCTATTGCTACTGCATGAGTGTGCTATGTGCTATTGGACGTTTCTTTGTTATTATGTAGTAAGTTGAGAATGATAATAACCGATTTCATACTACTATGGTAGCATCAATTTTGTTAGTATAGTATGGTATATTTAAGATTCTTTGAAAAGGAAGGTTTCTAATCATCCATAAGGGTGTGTTATACGAGTCATCTTTATTAATACTGCACAGTTGGTTGAGAAAAAGCGGTTAAAATTGATCTGAGGTGAATCACTTAAGTGATGAATATTGATAGCCAGGTACTCTTACTAATTTTCATAGCCAGTTTGTTTGCTTACCTACAGCCTGTGTATACAGTGATTAAAAAGCTATTTTGATTCATATGGCAATATTCCTTTATCAACAAAATAACAAATAGTTCTACGTCTGATCACGAATTGACTTCGGTCGGAAAATCATTGAGGTCATCAAAGCACTCATCAGCTATTTTGTCCTTGATTGGGACTCTTCACAGTGTGCGCCCATGACCCTACCAGGAATCGAACCCAGGTTACAAGGCCACTGGACTCTGCCCCAGTATATGAAAGGTCAGCGTGGGTTCTGGTTGTGGTCCCTGGTGGATGCCATGTGTGCATACCACTGAAGATCCCCAAACAAGGACGAAGCAACTGTCCAGTACTCGCTGGTTTTCATTGGTTCTCCAAATGAAGTCAGTACGTGATCAAAATTGAAAACGGGTAAATCTCTGCAAAGCAACAGTTGAGAATAGTAGTAACCTGAGTTCTTTTTGTTCAATGACTAGTGTACACGGATCGATTTTACAATCTTATTTTATTGTTTATAAATATGCATATACTTGTTCTGATGCTTTATTTTCTCTATTTTATATTTCTGTATAGTTTGCTAAAGACATTGAAACAGAAACAAAGTCTCAAAACAAATTTCTTGATGAAATTCAGGGCTCGTTTGATAACGCCAGTAATTTGCTGTCGAACACATTACATCGAGTGCTTGGAATACCAAAAAAACGGACAAACAATCGAAAATTTATGCTTTATGTTATTTTGTTTGTAATTATCATGACATTAATTGGTTACTTTCTTATATTTCATAGATCCAGTTAGTTGTATATTGTTTATCACTAATATTAGTTGGTTAAGTTTATTCAAGCTGTATTGTTGTGGGGTTGTTCTTTTGCCTGTATTCCTCTTAGAGTTGTTTAACTGTAACCGTGGAACATAGAGTACACGATATTGTCTTTCGCTTTTAATTTTTAATTTCTTCACTTCATGCTTTTTTTCCTGTCAAATTATTTCAGTAAGTTTTACTTATAAGCTGATTTTTGGAAATGTATAATTGCGATATTTTTTAATAAAGATGATATCTATTTGGTATTTTCTTGTGTAACAGAAGAACATGGTAGAATTCAATAGTGGACATGCTTTTATTAGATGATTGAAGGCAATCGGAAAGAGGCCTTAGACCCAGGTTTCGTGCTTGTTGACACTCACTAGTCATCAAGTTGTATCTGCAATGTCGAAGGAAATCATGTCCTCTCTGGGATTTGAACCCGCGTCACCCAGTCCTGCAGTTAAAGACCTTAACACTGAGCTACTCGGGATCACGATTGACCTCCTGTAGGACTGTATTAGATACTTTGATTGACTTAGGATCAGGTTGGAAAAGCGCTAGTGGTGGTCAAACCAAAGCATGACATCAGTCAATGAAATCCACAAAAGTTAGTTTTAACTAGCCACATAGGGAGGTGCAGACTTCCTGGTTGGGGTCCTCGGGATGAAAAAAACCAATGAAGGCGGGAGACAATTGGTGATATGGCTCAAAAACTTTCTCAATGGTGCAAATGTATTCACTCTTTCTGATTTATCATGTCCAATAAAATTCCATTGTTTTTCCATATTACCATTTTTTGCCTCACATTTCTGTTTATTATCTCTTTCTCTCTTCTGAACCTCTCTTTACTCTCTCCTTTTACTTCGTGTGGTACATAGAGGGAAAGTGGCAACTTGAACTGCTGCACATTTGTGCAAAGTTCTACGTTGAAACTAGTCAGTCAGTAAGTAACTTGTGTCATGCGTCAAATCCTTTGTTTAGTGCAGAACTGAATTCTATCAGTCAAGTTTGCAATATGGCCACCATTCTAGGTGGCTCGCCACCATGGTGCACTGTCGACTGTTGTTGTTAGATGACTGGAGGCAATCAGCAGGAAGCCTTGAACCAGTCATCTAATAACAGCAATTCAGAGCGCGCCATGATGGCTAACTACCTAGCATAATGGTTGCATTACAAACTTAACTGACAGATTTCACTCTGCACTAAACAAACGACTAGTTACTTACTATGTAGTGTTCAATAAAAACGGACATTTCTATTGACAAAGGGATGTACGAATGCCGTAGATTAAAATCTCCTTTTGCATATGTTCTCTTTATTGCGCTTTTTCCGTCTTCCTTTCATGCCGTTTTTATTGTTTCACAGGCATTTTTCATTTCTCTTCGCAAATCCATTGATTGCTTGGTTGTTCAATATTCTCTCAGAAGACATCACGCGCAATATACTACTTACGAAATCTTGTTAGTAGCACTCACCATACTTGTATTTGTTTTAAGTGTTGTCCTTCGATTTCGATGACCACTCCAGGTATTTTTGAATCCTTTAACCTTTTCAGTATAGATATAGGATTCGATCATTCAATAGGAAGTGTTCTATTTGTTAAGATTGCCAATTGTGTACCTGACTAAGTGATTTCACATGAATACTGTAGGCTTGAAACTGGTGTCCCGTTCGGGTTCCCCTCCAACAATGGCCTAGACGCGATGTCATTCGATGGTCTCCTCAGCGAGTGTCCAATCTCTCTCCATTTTCTTCTGCATACTTACTGAGCGATAGTTACCTAGTTGGTTTGTCCCCAGAGTTTCTTGCCAATTCTTTCTGACCATTTGATTTTTAATATGGAACCAGCGAAGGGATCTGTTGATAAAAGTCTGCAATCTGTTGGAGTATTGTGGGTTAGGATGCACAAATGTCTCATTTAAAATTGCTTGTATTCCTAGCCACTCCACTTCAACGCTATTATAAACCATTACTTCCTGTTGTCTTTGTATCGAACATTCCAGTTGTTTTCATGCTTATGTCTTCACTATTTTGAGTTTCGTTAGATATTCCTTTTTGGTTTTGGTTACTCCTTTAACTTGATTCGTTTCACAACGTAATATGAGGAATGTCTTACTATTTTGCTTATCTTAATTTCTCTATTTTAATAAGGTTCCTATACGTTTCACAAATCTTCTTACTAATGAAAATGTATGGTACTGTCTTAATAATAACAGCTTTTTCCTGAACAGTGTTTATATAATATACAGAATTCTAAGCAGGATTTATTGCATTTTATTTTCCCTTCGTCCAAGATCTTTCAGTCAAATAGTAATCGACAGTAGATCGTATGACACAATGTTATCTGACCTGAATTGCATATTAGTTCCTTGTGATATTTCTTCTTTGTCCCCTTCGACAAGTCCATAACACAATTAAACAAGTGAAGGAGTACATTTTGAGGCCGAAAGACATGACTGAAGAATTAAAGGCTACAGGTAGTTCGTTTTATTTCTCTGTTAGTGTCAGTTTTTACTGAAAATCTCAGGAATAGTTATCTCATGTATTGGAATACGTTACCACTGACGATCATGCATTTTCTTAAGTTTAATAGAAACTGGCAAATCAGCAGGTTGTAAACATTTTAAATACTTGAGAGAGTAAACAGTACCATTAGAGATCTTGTTTCAATTGATTTAAACAAAGCGAACAAGAGAAATTATATACCAGATAATGATCGAGGTTTTTGGCGGTACAAATTTTAAGCAGGCCGCCGGTGAGGGTGTGTATTGATTTAATGGTGATATGGAGTAGTTATACTTTTTTTAAGTAAATGCATACAAACAATTCATTGTGTATATTAATGTCAATAGGATCTGGTATTTTCAGAGATTGTCACCAAACAATACATATACACAGATGAATTAGGCTAAATGATGTGTTTCTAAGTGAACATCAACCGTTCAAATCCCCAATAATTGTGGTTTTAATAGCTTTTATTTACCACAGGACCAACTTCTCAAGTCTCTAACATGATGAAAAGTTTTACCTGTGATCAACCGTTTGTGCTGTGCTTAATCTTCTATTTAACAGGTTCACACTACTGTCACCATTAAGGTTAGAGTGGACAAAAAATTCAGTGTAGTTTCTTCGGGCTTGTTACATCCTTTCTAACCAATATTAATTAAATTAACGAAGCTCTGTAGGAAGTCATTTCCTTGGAGACATTTCTCAAGCAACAGTAATTCACCATCCAGTCGATTCGTTTTGAATATCTGCTTCAATTTTAGAATCCAGAATCCTTAGGCATCTCCCCATATGTCACCTCGCTTCATTTTAGTGTGGGCTTACTATTTATAGAATTTTGATGATTTAACTAAAAAGAAAGCACTTGTACATATGAGCTAAGTCTGTTTAGTAATTAAGTTATTAAAACAGGTATATAGTAGGTTTGAAGTACTGGTTTCCCTTTAAACGAATACAGTTTTGTCAAAATGCACCAGGATGTCCTATGAAACCAGTGATCCTATTCGCTGTCTATAAGGCTATTTACCTATAGTGTTACTACTGCTTCACTCCAGATAAGAGATTATTCCCTATTCCTGTCACAATGACTTTCTCAGGTCACTGTATAATTCACTTATGTACCACAAATAAAATGTTCATCAAGGGCAGCTCAGACTTAGAGAAAAATGTTCTCACAGAGTAAGCGAAACATTTAGCATACCATCCTGAATAGACTTCCTTTTGTGACAGGTACTACATCTTATAGCAGTGCATCCCGACTGACCAAGTTCAAACAACCGAGTTAATTCAAAACACTTGAATACTGGTAAGCTGTTTGGACTAACTTGTATCGCATAGTATCGAATTCATCAATTGCATATTATAAAATGATACAAGAATAGAATTAAGACACTGTGGCAGAGTAATGTCTCATCATGGGATAATTTTATTTAATAAGAAAAGCTCTGATACTGTATTATTTTTATTTTTTATTTTATTGCTCAATAATCATATCAAGGCACTCACATAACTTTCAAACTTTGTTTATATAGTTCCACTATTTCTTATCTGCCGACTTTATTGACTGGTTTCAACATAGAACTTTGCACATATGTGCGGAAGTTCAAGTCGCCACACTCCATGTAGCACACAAAGCAAGAGAAGAAAGTAGGAGAAATGCAAAGTAGAGACAGTAGACAGGGATATGAGACAAAAGGTACAGCAATGACGAAGAACAAAATGGTTTCGTTGGAAATTATAAGTCATAAGGAGTGGATACATTTGCTACACTGACAACAATTTTGAGACATATCACCAATTGTCTCTAGCCATTGGTTCTTACTGTCCCGAGGATTCCAACCAGGAAGTCTACACCTCCCTACATGGCTTAAACTAACTATTGTGGATTTCATTGACTGATGAGGCCATGTTTTGGTTTGACCACCAGTGGCTCTTTTCCAACCTGTCCCTATGTCAGCTAAGACTACCTTTCGTCGAGGAAGGCGATGACTGGACATACGTAACACGTGTCCTTACCATCTCAGTAGATGTAGCTTCACAGCCTCGTCGATTGATTTCCCCTCCTTACCTAACACTCGATGCCTAACATCAATATTGCTTACCATATTATACCACTTTACACGGGAGATAGAACGCAGGCACCTGTGATCAAAGACAGCTAGCCTTTTCATGTCCTCCACTCTCAATGACCAGGTCTCACGGCCATAAAGGAGGACGGAGCGGACTGCTGAGCAGTACTTTATTGATAGTATTACTTTTCATACCTCTGGTAAAGGCGTTGCGTCATTCCTGTTGTACGTGTTAGGTTTAGATTTGAGGAACAAGGATTTAGTAATCAAACTCTCCCTTTCATCTACCTATAATATTTTTTTTAGAACTGTAGCTTTGCAGTACACTATTGTGTGTTTGTGCGTTAAAACACACTGCAAATACTGAGATTTTCATCATCCTACGCAAATATATACACAAATAAATAACAATCAAAATGTATGTTGAACTGATCAATAAAATCTTATGGTGCTTCAAATAGCGAACTTTTCTCAGTTAAACAATTTCTAGCCTAGTTTTATCTCTAAGCTTTCATTAGTATTAAGGACATGATTGCTACCATTTGTAGACTAATTTGTTAACATTACATAGTGCCTGGCAGTTTTCTCTGTTCTCCTCTGATTGACTCCTATGGAATATGAGATTTCCAAATAATGCACTCTTCTGATGAGTACCAGCAATCACGAAACTGAATCTAAAAAA